TCATCGTTAGAATTTGATGAACTGAAATCTGCCACCTAATAACTGACGTCTAGGCAGCTATGTGGTGCAGTAGATAGAATGCCAGCCTTGGAGTCAGGAGGAAGCTAAGTTCAAATCCAGCCTCTGACACTTATTAGCTGTGTGACCCTGGGCAGGTCACTTAACCCTGTTTGCCTCAGTTTCCTCATCTGTAAAAAATGAGCTGGAGAAGGAAATGGCAAACCCCTCCAGTATCTTTGCCAAGAAAACCCGAAATGGGGTCATGAAGAGTCAGACACAACTGAACAGCAATAACAAAACCGATACCCATTGAACCTTCTGGGGCCAAGCAGAATAAGTCTAATCTCTCTACTGAAGACAATGCTTCATTTGTCAGACTGCAGTCATCACAACTCTCTTAAGTCTTCAGGTCTCCAAGCATTTAATCATCTTCAGTGGCTTCAATAACAGACAATAATAACTTTGTCTTAGATAGTTTGAAGGTCCTTCACTAGGCTGGTCATCCTCTCCTGGGTTTTCTCTACTTTGGCAACGTCCTTCCTAAGATGTGTTACTGAGACAAAGATAGATTGGTCTGACCAAATCAATGGAATATCAAAATTTCCCTCATTTTAGACCTGATGCTTTTGTTAGTGAAATCCAAGCTTACATTATCTTTGGGCTGCATCATCACACTGTCGAATATAATTAAGTTTTCTGCCTTCTAAGCCCCCGGTCCATATACACATTAAGTGTTTTCTTGTCACATCTTTTCCAGCCCATACTTGTGCACTTAATTTCTTAAGTCCAAGTGTAGGAACTTACATTTATGTGTTCAGTCATTTCTCAGTTGTGTACAACTCTTTGTGACTCCATTTGAGATTTTCTTGGCAGAGATACTGGAGTGGTTTGTCATTTCCTTCTCCAGTTCATTTTACAGGTGAGGAAATTGGCAAACAGGGTTAAATGACTTGTCCAAGTCATTCAGCTAGTAAGTGTCTGAGGCCACATTTGAAATCAGGATGATGAGTCTTCCTGACTCCAGGCCTGGAGCTCTATCCACTGTGCCACCTAGTTGACCAATTCACACACACACACACACACACACACACATACACACACACACACACATGTGCACGCACACACAGATTATTTTACTAGACTTAGTTTGTAATTCCAGCATTTCGATCTCTTGTTAGAATTCTAATTTAAATCCAGAATGTTTTCCATCCTTCACAGCTTCATATCATCTGAAAATCTACTAAGAATGCTATCTATGTTTAAGTCACTGATATAAATATTGAATAGAACAGGTCCAACCCTATGGTACTCTTGTAGAGATTTCTTTATGGGTTAATATTGAATCATCACATCACACAGCAGTATTTCAGCCCAGTTTTCTAACGAGTCCTGAATTCATTTAATCGAAGTATTATTCCGTTCATATTCAAATGCTTTACTAAAATGGAGGCATAATCAGTCTATCGCATTTCCTTGAGTCTATCCATCGAGTCAAGTGTTTTGGATTTTTTTTTTTTGTATGGGATGTGTGGCTTTATCGGGCACTGGTGCAGACCAATTACCTTCTTAAAACATAGAATATTATAGAATGCCCTGGGTCACTGAGAAGTTAAGTGACCTGCCCAGTGTCCCAGAGTCAGATATATCACAGGGGGGACCTGAACCCAGGTCTTTGGATCCTTAGACCATCTCTTTCCCAACTAAGACATGCTGCTTCACTCTATCAGAAAAGGAAGTAAGTTTTCATTGGTTTGCCAAACAGCGAATCCATGCTGATGCTTAACGATCACTGTTTGCATTTCTAAATATTCACAAGCCAATCCCTAAATGATGTACTCTAATGTTTTGTTTTTCAGGACTGTATGCCATGTTAGGAGTAGCTAGGTGACACCTTGGATAGAACACTGGACTTGAAGTCAGAAAAACCCAAGGTCAAATTTGGCTTCAGACGTATAGTAGACCCTGGGTAAGTCATTTAACTTCTGTATGCCTCTATTTCTTCAACTGTTCAGTTGAGATTACAGTAGCACTTACCTTCCAGGTTTGCTGTGAGGATAAAATGAGATGATATTTGTAAAGCACTTCACACAGTATCTGGCACATAGTCCATGCTTAATTAATGCTTGTTAAATAAAAAAGTTGATCAATCTTGTAGTTTAGAGACCATAGGAGACAGTGTTTTGCAATGGTAAGCGTGCTGTATTTAAAAACCAGAGTCTTCAATTTGAATACTGACTTTGCTGCCTGTGTGACCTTGGGCAACTCATTTATCATTTCTGGGTTTCAGATTTCTTATCTATAAAATGAGTGGGCAGGACTAAATACCTTCTGATTGCCGTTCTAGATCCGCCATTCCCTGAACATACAGCAAATGTTTGTTCACTGCTTTCTTTTAGTCCCAGAGACTGAAAGGAATTAGATTAGGCAGGAAAGAAATCTGGAAGTCTCCAAAACATTAAAAAAAAAAAAGACCTCAATAAACAATTGTTTGTTAAGCATTTATTAGGCTCACCACGCTCCAGGTACTGTACCAAGAACTGGGGACTCAGATTGAAAATTAAGTCACTGAACTAATACTATCAGAAAAATCTTTTAAAGGGAAGGGCTACTCATCTGCTCCAAGTAGTTTAGGCTGAGGGCCTACCCAGAAAGAAGCAAGAAGACAAGGTTATTAGATGATTCTGTATTTCCCTTCCTACATCTATGGTTCTATGTTTCTATGGCTTTGCTATGTAAAAAGCTTTTTTATGTGGATAATTTGTTTTATGGATCATCTGAAATAGACTTTTTAAAAAAATCCCAAAGTACCCATCCAGGCAGCTCCTGTGTTCATACATTGTGCTTCCTAACTTACCTCCCTAATTTGCTCAGGTTATACAAATTAATTGCAGTAATAAAAACTTAAGCAAAACATAATTAGGGGGGTAGCTCCTCCTTCACACCCTCCCAAATTCTGTCAAATACTTGATAGCCAAATCTGATGTATGAGTTATTTTAGATGAGCTTTTCTTTGCCCTTCTTAGTATAGATGAATGTGAGTTGACTGTATTACCTTGCCTTTATAAGGCTATCATTTATGATTTTGGGGGACTATGGGAAGTGCTGGAAACAATTTTTAAAAAACAGCTGCTAATTTGTGAGACCTGGGCTGTTGGGTTGAGTCATTAGTACAGATCATTCCATAAGTACTGTCTGCGTGGCCTCAATTTGGGTGAGTCTAGAAAAACAATCCAGTGTCCCTGTATTGCCACTTCCTTCATTTTCCTCTGGCCTCTTCTAGAAGAGGTCAGGGCTTCTTGGGAAAGGCTGGCCAGAGCCAGAGAAAACCTGCTCTGGGTAGTTATGGAAAAGCGACATTCTTTGTGGGACAAGCAGGACATAACTGCTTATATAATTTAAAACTAGAGAGCATGAAAAAGGATTTCCATGACCTAGACCAGGGCCTCAGCCTCCTTTAGAAGAAAGTGGACTTGTCATCCTTTGTGTGACCATGGCTTTATATCCATTCAGTCACACATCCTTAAGATGCCACTCAGGGTAGCTTGAATGAAAGCCTGTCCTGTTGAATTTTCCATTGTACTTCAAGTCTGGGTGAAGGGATTGTTGAAACTGAATGTCACTATACATCAGCCATGCGTAAACATGAAGAAATAGTCCCTCATCTGCTGCTGCAAGCGAAGAGCAAAGCACAGGGCATAGCTAATGATTGTTCGTCCTGCTTGTTTTCTCTCATTATGCCTTGTCAATCCCTGCAAAGACAACCTGGCATACAGAAGTGCTGCGTTTGGGCACTTACCAAGATTTCCAGCTGTTACATAATTAGCTTTTAACATTTTTTCCAGAGTTGGTATTATAATGACAATAGGTCATGGTTCCTGGGCTTTCGCTCTATTCTAACTTGGTTAAGCTAAAAGTTGTCTCTCTGTATATTTGATGTCTCCCTGTGAGAGTTTCCAACTTTCCCTTTGAATCAACTCTCCAAATAATTCAGCAAGGATTTTTTTTGAGACTGGAAATATCTTTTAATCAGTATGGGGAACTGCTGATGAGAAAAAGGCTCTTCCAATAAAGATGGGCACCTGCTCTATAGCTGATAGGTGACTTGCCTAGGGTCACACAGTCAATATGTCAGAGGAACTATGTGAATATAGGCCTTCCTGATGCTGAGGCTTCTGTAAGGTCCATAGCAAGGGAAAAAGATTGAAATGCACATATATGTACATATACATCTATATATTTATTACTACATCAATTCATTAAAATCATAGAGGAGCCACATTTTAATCTGGTTCCAGCATTACTCAGGAGTATTACAGGCTGGGTGTTAGATACTTCTGGCGTAGTACATACGGAGTTGGCCTCAGTGGTCCCTATGACAATGAAATCAGAGGTTCCATTAAAAAAAGAGATTGCTGTGAACTAGCGGGGAGCTGGCGATGTTGAGATAAATGGCCTGTTCATATGAATAAATACAAGTTGGCAGTGGTCTCGGTGAAGATGAAAGGCACTGTAACATAGGGATAGGTAACTAGCTTCCAGTTGGGAAGAGCTGTGCTCAAGTTGTGTCTCTGGCACATATAGGGTGTATGACCCTCGGCAAGACATTTAACCTCTTAGTGTTCTAGGTAACTCTCTGTCACTATAGATGCCATTGTAGTCCAGGTCTGTCTTGCCTGCATAGATGCTCCTGACACTGATGAAATCACCAGAGCAATACCGCCTATGCTTAACTTTGTGTCCTCACTTCTGAGATGCTGGAGCACAATGAACCCTTAACAGCACATCTTTGAAACCCTCCCCTCCCCAAAGGCCCTCCTGTCCGCTTTTATTTTATTGCTCAGAATATTTCTTATGCATGGTTAAATTTCCATTTTTTTGGCTGACTTCCCCGCTCTCTTGTCATTTGGAGTTGCCCACATACATATTTGCAAACAGAGGCTTCACTCAAGTGGCACTGAGAGGAGGTGGAGCAAGCAGGGCTTTAAAAAGGAAAGGGGAGTCATTCCAAGCCTGAAGAAGGAGGAACTGTGCTGAGCAAGGAGTCATTTCTCCGTTTCTTCCTTTAGCCTTACCCAAGGGCTGTGCTTAGCTAGAAGTTTTTTACCAGTTCTTCTTTCCTTCCTTTCCTTTTTCTCTTTCTTTTTCTCTTTCTTTCTTTCTCTCCCTTTTTTTCTCTCTCTTCTCTTTCTTTTCTCCTCCTCCTCTCTCTTTCTTTCTTACTTTTGTTTCCCACCTAAGCTTGTTGCAATAAAGCCTTGGGGACTGTGCTGCTAAAGTGTGTTAAATTTGTCCTTAGAGTGTCAGGTATTTCACGCTTGCTTCCACCCTCTCCCCACTCCAGGTGGAAGAAATCTCTTGCTGGAGTTTCTTGAAACAAGAGAGGAAAAGTAGCAGCAGGATAGATTTGCCTTTAGTTTACAGGAGAAAAGCAAGAGGTGGGGTGAGGGGGAAAGAAATGATACAGGGCACTGGGCAAAGAAGCTCAAAAGCGGCTGGGAGGGATACGGAACTCCGTTGCTCTCGCCATGACTAAGGCTAGCCAAATTGCTTTTGGTTGACAGTTCAGAGAGCTCGCTATGGTGTGGCTATTCCTCCTTCCCTGGCCCGTGGGTTTTGCGTTTAGCCTGGCCAGCCTCCCAGCCCCGCAGCTTCAGGAGAACACGAGCTGCTCTCTGCGCTCAGCCCAGGGTGACAGGCGTGTAACTTGTGCGGGTAAGTGCGGGGACGGAACTAGATTCGTGTTTCTGTGAAGACTCTCTGGTTCCTTCTTATTCCTTCTCTGTTTAAGTTGGTATGTTTGCTGATCTTTTTTAGGAGGGGGAAAAGAGGGAGAAAAGAGCGGGGGCTTAATTTGTTTCTTGTTATCTTTATCTTTAATCCATCATTCTGCTACCAATTAGAAAGCAACAGTAAATTGAGAATATCTACTGCTAACCTCTTAGATTGTTCCCGTGTGCGTGCGTGCGTGCGTGCGTGTGTGTGTGTGTGTGTGTGTGTGTGTGTGTGTGTGTGTGTGTGTAGAGAGTCAAAGTCAGTGAAGGGGAGAAGTAGAGACTATAAGTAGCAGACTAGAATCCGATTTTGGAAGAGAATCCCAGGTTCAGGAAATAATTATTTGCTTGTAATTGGTCTCTGAAGCTCTGCCTTTAGCCTTGGTGGGAATCCAATTTTTTTCTTTTTTAGCGGCAGGTGGCTTGTGAGTGTGAGCACTGCCAAAGAGTGTAACTTTGTAAACAAAAAATAGAAATCTGCTTTCTAAATGCCTATTAAGACAAGAGGAAACAGAAATTGCTGCACGTGCCAATAACTGACTTTTAAGGTCTTTGTCTGAGACGTTCATGTGTTTTTTTTTTTGGTGGGAAGTTGGGAATGAATGGGGAAGGGGGCCGAATTGGGATTGCTTGACAGTGATCCCAAAACCACTGCTTTTCTTTGTACAGATAGAGAAATTCCAGATGGTCACATCCTTATGCTTAAAGTCTGAAACCCTCTCCCTCTCTCTTCTTTAATCCCTGGGTGGGTCTCCAACCTGTTGCTTAGTACAAGGCATCCATTTCAGTCCACGGGAGGGAATGTACCATTGGAATATTCCCTTCTTTTCCTTAGAATTGCTGTCTGAGAGACAGTGGGGAGTGGAGGACAGAATGAGGAAAGAAAGGAGGGCTTTGGGGAAAAAGTCAAAGAGTGCAGTGGAGAGAAAAGGAAGAAACTTAAGCCAGCCAGACAAAAGCTTTCCACTTTTGCTGGCCCACTGACCTAGACCTAGGGTGGGAAGGGGAACTCACTGTAGCCCTTGTCAGAAGCTAGTGGGATGCATTTATCAATATTATTATTCAGTGTGATATTTGAACAAGGAGTTTAGAATCCTCACCCAAAGCCTCTAGGCATCTGAGAATTGGACTAATGCAGGAGAAACATGTTTTTTACCCCTAGGCAAGGGAACAAAGTGACAGTTAGCAGAACAACATGGGAGTGACATTTTGATTCAGCTAGAAGGTATCTTAGAGGTCACTGAGTCCAGCTCCTTATTTTGCAGATGAGAAAGCTAAGTCATAGGTTAAGTGAGGACCATAGAAGTCATCATATCCAACCCCCTCATTTGGCAGATGAAGAAACTGAGGCACAGAAAAGTTAAATACAGATCAGAAAGGATATCTAGTCCAACCTCTTCATCTGCAAGATGAAGAAACTGAGGCACAGAAAGATTAAATAAGAATCATAAAGGATATATAGTCCAATCATCCCTCCTCATTTTAATAGAGGAAACTGAGACCCATGTTGGTTGCCTAAGGTCACGCAGGCAGTAATATGTGAAAGAGTGGGGATTTGAATCCAGGTCCTCTAACTCCCAAGTTCATCTTTCTTTCTTCTGCTTTGAAGCTTGAGTAATGGAAAGGAGATGGCTAAGAAATTAGACCAATGGCAGCTGCCATAATCTAGGCACACATCTTGCTAATAGGTTATTGAGACATTCTGGAAGACCCAACCTGGCTCCTCAGTAGTGAGGGTAAAAGCTCGCTGCACTGCTAAGGCAGGCTCTTGGGAGTGCTTTGGGATCAGAAGGGTGACGCCTAACTGTTGAGATGAGCCTGGGGCACAGGGGGTCCCAGTTATTCGTGCTGTGTCATGCTGAAGGTCCTTCCCACTCCTACAATGGCTGCTGCTCTTGATATGTGCAACATGCTATGTAAATGCTTAGCTATGTATCTTGGCCTGCATACGATGTTGGTACGGGTGGACCATGTGGTGCTTTATTTGCACAGTGCTGGGTGAGTGGAATGTCTGGATGCCATTTCATGACTTTATGTCTCTTTGCTACTTCATTCCTTACAGGTCACCAGTTTAAACCCTTTACTTTACACTTACCCATCTCAAGTTAGCTGATAAATGCCTGGGGTCACACCCTGGCATTTTATAGTGTAGTATTCCTTTCCCCTTTCCAATGGATTTATGGCTGCTGGTTCTTTTTAAAAATTCTGCCTGACATGCCTCTATCCTAGAATTGAAAGTGTTTCCTAAGAATCTTCCTTGATCCAACAGAAAAAATATTTTGTTGTCAGACGAGAGCTGGTTAAACTGAATCTTAGTCCAAATCTGAATCTTAGTCAAATGCCAAACCAGGTATTATTAGATATGGGATTGAAGAATTGTGTTCTATTTTGAGTCAATTGGATATTCTATTAACACTTTGGTTTGAGCCAAAGTGCAGAAAACTTTTGGCAAGTAACTTTTAAGCCTGTCTGCCTTGTGGAGAAAAATCTCCTGAGGAAAGAATTGTTCCTGAAGGATGACTATACCTGTTTTGGTGAGGAGGAAACGAAATACTTAGAGCTCAGCTTGAGATAAGTCTATTGAAGAAATGCATGGATAGCAGAAGAGGGTAGGGAATATAACTTTTAGCTGTAAACTATGAACATTCTGACCTTTAAGCGCTGGCTAGGGCTTAGTCAGCTTCAAGGCTGAATGAGATTACCCAAGTATTGTGATGCTAAACCCCTTTTGGTATTTCAATGAGAATGATGGGGAAAAATGAATTCTTGTCATGACTGAAGGGAAACTACCAGAATGATTTCTTAATCATAAAGAACAGGAATGAAAGAATGTAAAACCTACTAAATGTTATTAATCCCCCCACCCCCATTTGGCTTGGTTTCTTTGTCATAATGAAGACTATTATCTTCAAATCAACATTAAGGGCTAGGTGAAAATATAGTATCAAAACTGACAACACTTAAAAAGACTTAATTACTCATATAACTTTGATGTAAGAAGCCAATCTGGGGAGTGTCCTAGTAGGATTCCAGCATTAATAAAATGTCATTCAGTAAGGCAAATGAAATCTGTTTGTAAGGTCTATTAATAGAAGGATCATAGTTTTATCCCTACCCCCTCCATCCTTGGAAAATGATGGTACATATTTTAAGGAACAGAGAGAGACCTCTTTCATCTTCCAGGGTCACTTTTGCATCTAGTTTTTCCAGGTTCAATAATAATAACAAACACTTATTAAACATCTACTATGCCCAAGCCCCCATGTGAAGTGTTGAAGATTCACAAGTGAAATGGACACGATCTCTGACATCCAAAAGCCCACAATCTACTGGACAGGAGAAGACATGGGTAACGAGGAGAGGTGAGGAGAGAGCTCTAGATGAAATGCTAGGAGAAATCAGAGGTCGCCTTCAGCACTTTGAGACTGCATACTGTAATACAAAGAGCACACAGGAACTTCAGTACTCAGCAGATGGAGGTTGAAGTCTGGGCTCTGTCACATAGCTACAAATAAATGATTTAACTTCTGTAGTCCTCAGTTTACTCATTAGCAAAGTGAAGATAACACTGTATACTTTACAGGGCTGTTTTGAGGAAGGAGCTTTGTAAACTTTCAATAATTATAATAATAATAGGTAATAATAGTAATGATGATGATAGCTAACATTTATGTAGTACTTACTATGTGCTAGGCATTGTTCTAAGCCCTTTATAAATATTATCTCATTTCACATTCACAACAACCCTGGGAAGGAGATACTATTGTTATTTCCATTTTACAATTGAGGAAACTGAGGCAAGTAAAGGTTATATGTGTATGTATGCATATATTATATATGTATATGTGGTATATATGTGTATATATGTGTGTATATATAAAGTACAGATGTCTGTATATGGATATATGTGTATATATGGATATGCATGGATATGTGCACACACACACACACACACACACACACATATATTTTCCATTTTCCAATTGAAAGTCAGAAATATACAAAGCGTCAACCTACCCAGGAGATTTCAATTCCTTTGAAAAAACTAGCTAAATGCCAAGTCTTTCCTAAAACAATAATAATAGTTCATATACATATGTATATATGAAAGTCCATATTGAACATTAATTCATGTTGATATATATTAGCTATTATTATTCAGTAGTGCAAATCAAATCTATAAGGTCTATTAAAAGAGGGATCATCATTTTGGAAAGTGCACGTTGAAGCATCTATTTCTATTCAATGTTGAACATTTAGATGCTTCACTGAAAGAGTTGTCTGAGAGGTCTGTAATGCTGTTTCAGTTAGTGTCCATAGTAAGAAAAAAAAAAAGAGAAAAGATGTTATGTATCTCCACCCATTAAAACCCTACTCTGATGACTCTTTATGGCATGGAGGTAGTCATAAGTTTCTGAAGGCTCTGCCAGAGGAATCCAGGTTATAACCGGCCCTATTGAGTTGGAAAGTCTTTGAATATGGACCTAGTTATGGACAATATATCTGTTCTTTAGGACTAGCCTAGCTAAGATTCATTGCCTAGTCGACTATAAGATGATGAACTTTATGGTCTCAACCAATCTGTGTTTATTAAGTACCTATTATGTGTTAGGCACCGTACTGGATGCTGGAGATATAAATACAAAGAATGAAACAACAAACTCTCAAGTAATTTATATTCTTCTACTAAAGTGATTTTTGTTGTTCAGTGGTATTCAGTCTTGTCCAACTCTTCATGACCCCATTTGAGATTTTTTTTGGCAAAGATGCTGGAGTGGTTTGCTATTTCCTTCTCCATCTCATTTTATAGATGAGGAAACTGAGGCAAACAGGGACAAGTGACTTGCCCAGGGTCATTCAGCTAGTAAGTGTCTGAGGCCAGATTTGAACTCAGGAAGATGAGTCTTCCTGATTCCAGGCCTGGTGCTCTATCTGCAGTGC